CCTTGCTCCAAGATTCCCCTCCCCCAAGCCCCCCTGCCCCCACAGAGCATGGGGCCTGGAGCTCCCCTGCAGCCTTGGGCAAAGGGTGAGGGGCAGCTGCTTCTCTGTATTTTTCCATGTTTACTTTTCTGCAGTAAGCACGTATCAGTTTTGCACAAACAATAGATCTACTTTCAAAAGAAAAAAACGAAGGCCCCTATAAAAGTCCAAAAAGGACACATGTCCCTTGCCTGCCATGGGCCGAGGCGGCTGGAGACAGGGCTCTGGGCAACAAAGCCGTGGGTCACAGCTGGATCTTCTGCAGGAGCAGAGGGAGGAGGTGGAGGGGCAGGGACCCCACGGGACCCTGTGATGTGCCGGCCACCAGCTCAGGGAATCCCATCACCCGAGCAGCGGAGGCTCTGGGAGGGCCAGGCTCCTTGGGCCCCTCGGGTGCTGGGCCAGGTGGCTGGCTTGATGGGGGCAACTCCTGGGAGAACGAGCTGGGCCTAGGCACCGTAGCACTGGCCAGGCTTCTGGTCAGAGCTGAGCCTTTCAGGGAGAGCACTGGCCTTCCAGAATCCTCTCCAGAATCACCGGCCCCAGAGACCTGTCCTGCCCCTGAGGCTCCCTGTCAGGGACTACTGAGAAGAGACTCCTGGGGTTGGTGGGAGGCATGGCAAGGGTCTGGGGACAAGCTGACTCTGACACAACCCAGGCTCAGGGGTGTGTGACCTGGGGCCCAGTGGCCCTCACAGTTGCCCCACCCTGGGAGCCCCTGAGGGAGGGTGGGTGGTGACTCAGCGTTCCCACCTTCCACACATCTGGAATCTCCTTCAGGCCACCTGCTCCCAGTCACCTCCTCTCCTGCTGCTGGACTTGGTACAGTCTCCTGGCTGTCCCCCCGATTCCTGTCCCTGGCTTGGTGGGGTCGTTCTCCAATCACTCCCCAACACTTGGTCCCCAGACTCTGCAGCAGCCATCTTGCTCCCTGCCAGCACCCTGGACCTTGCCCTGGGCTTCTCCAGACCTCACTGGCTGGGGCTGTTCCCTAGGCCTGGAATGCTTTTCCCTCAGACTGGTCAGACATCAGCTGGGCTTGCGTCACCTCCAATGCCACCCTCTTCATGAGGCTGGTTCAAAATCACAACCCACCTCGCTCCCATAGCCCCCAGCTTTGGCCTGGATGTTTGTGCTCCCCCAAAATGCAAATGTCGAAGCCTAGCCCCCAGAGTGATAGCACAAGAAAGGGCCTTGGGGAGTGTTGGATCACAAGGGTGGAGCCTCCCAATGGGATCGTGAAGCTGTGAGGGAGGTTAGCCTTCTGCACCTGGAAGTGGCCTCCCCAGAACCCACCCTGACCTTGGACTTTCCACCTCGGCTTCTGTCATGGAAGCCCCCGTCTGTGGCGTTTCGCTGTGGCACCACGCTGGCAAAGACTCCCACCTGCTCTCCCCACAGCCCTTCCCTCCTAACATGGGGCTCACGGCTCCTGTCATGCTCTCAGCCAGATGGCTACACCTGCAGGAAGAGGCCTGTCCCATCCATGATGTGTCCCTGCACCTGGACCCACGCCCAGTCCAGAACACTATTTAACACACACTGGCTGCATGAAAGCCACGTGCAGCCTGTGTTTTGCCAGCTTCCGGATGGGTCAACTGTTCTGATAGTGACCGCAAAACCAGGACTCGATCTGTGTTCAGTGGGACACCCCACTTTCTAACAGCCTGGGGACAAGGGTGGGAGTGTCTCGAGGACAGCAGCACCCAGGGAGTCCCCCAACACAAAGCTGTGTCCTGGTGACGGTGGAGAGACCTGATACAAGTGGCATTGGTGACTGGGGCAGCCCTGCGGGGCCTGGAGGCCCTATCTCTCAGACCGGTCCCTCTTGTCTCCTCCAGGCCCACGTGTATTCCCCAAGGTTGGGAGCTGTGTCTGCCCCCAGTCCCCTGACCACTCACGCACACTCTGCCCGAGCCAGGGTGGTGGGGCCCAGCAGTGAGCCCGAGACTCCCAGGAGAGCTCACTTCCCTTCAGCAACCTGAACCTGCCAGGAAATTGTCCTGCCTTTACACCTGGAGGGGAGACTGAGCGGGAGTAGGGAAGGCAGGCTCGAGGGGGCAGGAGCATGGAGGTGAAGCCCCATGTAGTCCACCTGCTCCATGCACACCTGTGAGAGGCCAGTCATCAGCCCACCTGGGCACCTTTGCTGAGACCGCTGCCTTGGCCCCATCCAGCTGGCAATCCCACCTGCCTTCCTGCTGGCTCTCCTGACTTGCCCCAGCCCAGCTGACACTCAGTGCCCTCCTAACCCCACCAGGCACCTACCTACCCCTCATTGTTTTACTGGCTGTTCCTGCCACCCCTTGATGCCCGCATCTCCTCCTCCAGGGTCCAGGCTCATGTGGCATGGGGCTGGGGGACCCTGCCCTGAGAGCCAGCTGCGCCTAACCATTCCCCCCATGGCAGGCCCCGTCCCGCTGGGCCTCAGATCCTCACTAGCAAAAGGGCCAGTTCAGTGTGTGCCCCCAAGCTGGTTTTGTGATTCCAGGAATTCTGTGTGACTCAACAGCCCTTCCTGGAGGTTTTGGCACTAGGTCTCAGCTGAGGACACAAGGCTGGACCGCCCCTCAGGTCCTGTGAGAGCCACTCTAGTCTCTGTGTGCCTCAGCAGATGGCACGAGGCACTTGCAGGCTGAGTGGCCTTCTGGGAGCGGCCAGAGGAGGGGACTACCATGGCATCTCCTAGGCCCAGATCATGGCCTCTCCCTGCTCCCTCCCACCCCCAGCTCCTCCAGGCCCCTAGCTTTCTCCTGGCTGGCTTTCCTCATCCCCAGGGCTTGGGCAGAAGAAGCCCTCCACTCCTGCCATCATGCCCCTCCAGGGGCCCACTACCCCCTCCTCTGCGGGCTGAGCCTCAGCCATATGGCACTTGAATGGATGCTGCAGGGGAGACCTTTGGATTGGAACAGATGGGCAGGCGCTGGCACAGTGCAGAGAGGAA